CAATCCAGAATCTGATGTGACAAATAATGTGACAAAACTAACTTGCAAAAGGGTCGTATGCCCTGTGAGTGCTCAAATACTGACTAACATTTTAAACCATCTTTAAAATGTAAAATTCTCTTTGTTTAACTAACAGGAGTAAGGATGGAATATTCTGGATCTCAGCATATCTGGTTAATGTTAATAAGAAATAGTCACTTGAATTTCTTGCCTTCTCTTGGAAGTGTAATCAAATGCATCCTGCAAAAGTTTGCTTATTGTCAGGCATATAAGATTACATACATAAGCAGTAGAACATCATTCTGACACCTCATCTCAACCCCCACCCTGGCAAGTAAGACATTTTTGTGGTTGTTGAGTTGTTCTGAGTTGTGTCCAACTCTTTGTGACTCCATTTTGGGGTTTTCTTGGCAAAGACACTGGAGTGGTTTGTCATTTCCTTTTCCAGCCCATTTTAAAGATAAGGAACTAAGGCAAACAGAGCTAAGTGACTTGCCCAGGGTCACACAGCTAGTTAAGTGTCTAAGGCCAAATTTCAACTCAGGATGATGAGTCTTCCTGACCTCAGGCCAGATACTCTACCCACTGCACCACCTAGCTGCCCCATAACACACGTAGGTTCCATCTATTTTCAATGAGCTCAATACCAAAATTGAAATTACAAGGACCATTTCACAATCTACTATGGGCCACACTTCTTTCCGTGACAAATAACTCTTCAGCGAGGCAAGGTCCATTTCTAGATTTTACGGGACCATTCCACAGAAACAATTACCAAGCCCGATTTAAAATGGACTAAAGGAGAGATTCCTCTGCAAGGCTGACACTAGCCTGAATCCCAAGCAGCAATGGAAAGCTGAATTACTACCAGATTATTAACAAAGGTTTGGATTAATTTAGTATATCCAAAATATCCTGTTTAGTCCCAGACCACAAAATGTCTTCCTTAACTCAAGCTAATTTAAACTTCAAAGAATCTCTGAAGTAAACCTGTTTTTCTGGAACCAACTTGGGACTAGACTATATACTCCTTTCTCAAAAATCTTCAATGATTTCCTATTGAACAATAAGACAAAAATACAAATGCCTCAACCTGGTATTTAAAGCATGCCATAATGTAAGTTCAACCTACATTTCCAGACGTACTTCATATTATTCCATTTTACACATTCTACTTTTCCAGTCAAACTTGTCTAATTGCTAGTGGTTCCTTGTACTCTTGCACTAGATATCTAAATCTCTCATCCCCTGTTTTTGCTCTGATTATCCCGTGTGTGTGGTTTGTCATTCGTTCCTGAGAAGGAAGGGAGAGGATGACATAACTTGCAATTGACTTTGATTTGAGTGAAGGAGGACTGTGCAACGTCACTAGCCTCACTTTCTACTATAGAGCCACCTGGGTCCAGTGGCCAGATATGGATCAGGACAACTGAAGATGGCCCGAGATGCAGTGGGAGACTTTGGCCCTTTTAAGCGAGGTCTTTCCAGGTTCTCACTTTGAGCAAGGCAACCAATTATCCCCTAAGGTGGGAATGTATTCCTTCTTTACCTCTTGCTCTTAGGATCCCTAGCTTACTTCAAGGCTCACCTCTGGTGCCAGTTCTAATACAAAGCTTCTGCTTCTGTACCCGGTTAAAGTCCCTCCTTCCTCAAATTACCTTTTATTTATTTAACTATGCAAATGTTGTATCCAGTTTTTGATGTCTGCACCCTGAATAGTGCCTTGCACACAGAAGGGACTTAATAAATATCTCCTCAGTTGAATTGCCTTACTTTTCAGCAAATATAAGCATAAAGAATTGAGTGACAAAAATGTACCCAAACAAAAAACTCTGAAAGAGTAAATATAACGAGGTCTGGGCTGTGAAAAATACAAAAATGACTAATACATAATCTTTGTTCTGGAGTTGTGAAGGACTTTACAATTTAGAAAAATGGGATATAATCACTTAGGCAAGGCAATTTTTTAAAAGGCATAACTTTTATGTAAACAAATAAGCTTGGTATATCTTACATAATGAAATAACATTACAGACATTAGTACAACAGAAAAAGCATATCAGAACTATTGCTTTTTGCCTCTTTGTCACTTTAACTTCCAAAGCATAATGTAAATAATAATGTCCATTACTTTAACAAAAGTTGTTACCTCATATTTTTTATAATTGTAAATTAAACATCTGAATAAAAATACTCACCTAAAGGGGGGAAAAAAACAAATAGCACATTGACTCCTTCAGATCACAGACCATTTTTTTTACAACATACATTATCATACATTTATGAAACTCATATGGCAATTATCATAAATCATTAAAGTGTATTATACACCAACATTAACAAAATATATTCTACGATGTTACATCCTTGATTCACAATATTTTTCTCAATAAATTATAGCTATTCTATTATTAACCTCCCAATCAATAGCCAAGATGAGTCAACACTTTATTAAAACATTACTAAGTCAAATATCACTTACTAAGCACCTACTATGTGTCAACTCTTCAGCTCATTCCACTCGACATCTGCTGCTCTGCCTGGTTTCACTCCATGAAACAAGATGCCCTTCTCAGGTTAAGCTCATTACTTCTAAAGTCTATCACTCTGCTAACTCAAATCTTGATTGATACCACATGTCTCCTCTCCCCTCTAATTGAAAGGCTGGAGGGTGAAGTACTAACCTCCTCCCAAAGCTTTCCTTTCTAGAAAGCAGAAGCTGGACTTTTTCTAATCAATTCACTCTTCCTCTGCTGCTCCAAAGAACAAGATCCTCCCACATCTGGTGCCCTCTAGTGTTCCCCACTACCTTTCCTGCCTTTTTTTGTGTGTTGTCCACCCTCCACCCCCTATTAAGACTGTAAACTCCTTAAGGGCAGGGACTGTCTTTTTCTTATTAATGATATCCCCAGTGCTTAGCACAATGCCTGGCACACAGTAGGCCCTTAATAAATGTTAATTGGATTGGGCTGGATTAAGTGTGAGGGATACAAAAAAGGCAAAGGCATGCACTATCAAGAATACAAATAGGATGAATTGGATGGGAGGAGTGCAGTCTCAGAGGAAAGACACTAAGCTTAAGAAGAATGGGGAAAGGTTGTTTCCTGTAGAAGGTGGGACTTTTATCTGAGACTTAAAGAAAGCTACGAGGTGCAAATGAAGACAAAAAGCATTCCAGGCATGAAGGATGGTCAGTAAAAATGCTTGAAATGGGAAGATGGAATGTCTTATGTGAGGAACAGCCAGGAAGCCAGTGTCACTGGATCACAGAGCACATGCAAAGGAGTAAGGTGTGAGAAGACTGGAAAGGTAAGAAGGGGCCAGGTTATGAAAGGCAAAACAAAAGCAGAGCAAAAACAAAATGGAAGATTTTGCATTTGAATCTGAAGATAAAAGAGAGTCACTGGAGTTTATTTAATAGGGCATAACACGGTCACATCTGTCCTTTAGGAAGACCAATTTGATAGCTGAGTGGAAGACAGATTTGAGTGAAGAAAAACATGAGGCAGGAAGACCGACCAACAAGTTATTGCAACAGTGTGAGGTGATAAAGGATTGTGCTAGAGTGGTTGCAGGGGGGTACATAAGAGAGATGTCATGAAGATAAACTAGAAGGATTTGACAACCAATTGAAAATGGGGGAGGGAGAAAAGAAAGGGTGAAGAATCAAGGATGACATTTAAGTTATGAACCTTAGTGACTTGGAAGATGTAATACCCTTGACAATAAAAGGGAAGTTAAGAAGAGGAAAGGGTTTGGGGGAAAACTGAATGAGTTCAGTTTTGGACAAGTTGAGTTAAGATGTCTATAAGACATCCAATTCAAGATGAGCAGTTATCATCAATTAGAGATACAAGACCCAAGGTCAAGAGAGAAATAGAGCTGGACAAGTAGATCTGGGAATTATCTGCATAGAGATGATAACTGAAACCATGGGAGCTGTTATCCCCAAATCACCTCTCTCAGGCATACAGGAAGAAAAGAAGAGAGCCTATGATGGAGCCTTGAGGGACACAGTTAGCTGGCATAACATGGATGAAGATCCAGCAAAGGAGACATAGAAGCCCAACAGCCAGGAGGAGAAACAGGTAAAGCACTATGTATCAGAGAGAAAAAACTGACTGATAATGCAAAAGGCTCAAATAATGTAAAGAGGTCAAAAAATATGAAGACTAAGAAAAATCCATTAGATTTGGCAATTAAGAGATCATTAGCAATTTTGGAGAGTGAAGTTTTGGTTGAATGATGAGGTCAGAAGCCCAAATGCAGAAAGTTAATCAAAAGTTTTGTTGCCTATTGGGCTGGAATTTCAGAAAGCAAAATGGAAAGGTTAGGTAGCTTTAGGCAGGGTTGAGTGGTGTTTGAAGGGGTGGAAATCAGGATAGTGGTGGATAAAGAATGGGGTTGAACAATGGTAGCTGGTGCTTCATAGTTATGGGTGGGTATGATGGGGTGGAAGTATGTTTATCATTGAGGAATGAGTCCAGGTAGGTTATTGACCACTGGGGTTTGTCCTTGGGTAGAGTGGTCACAGGGCTTCAAGCAGCTGTGTATGGCTGCAAAGTACAGGGGGTGAAGGGATTGGAGGGTGCCAGGGTCTGGGCAGGTTCAGTCCTGTGAAGCTGCAGGTGACTAGAAAGAGTGCGTAGAAAAGATTTTAAGCGTACAGGCAATGTTAAGTTCTGGGGAGTCATAGGTGGCTAAAGAGAATGCCTGCTTGGAGCACAGTTCCATATGTTATCTACATATTTTGGCATGTGGCACAGTGAAAAAGGTGCCAGATTTGGAGATAAAAGGCTGAGTTCAAATTCCAGCCAACCTATTTAGTACCTGTGTGGCCTTGGTTAAATAAGTCACTTAAGCTCTCAGAGTCTCAATTCATCTGTAAAAGAAGCTTGAAATAGATGGCCTGTAAGGTCCCTCACTTCCAGTTCTAATGTATGATCGTCCAAAAACTATGTTGAAGGATAAATATTACAATGCCGCTGATGTAACCTTACCTGTTTAAGAGCCTTTTTGGTGTGCTGCTGGAAGGAAGACGCTAATTTGTTTTGCACTGCTGTATTTGTAAGGCTCGAGTCTCGGTTGGAAGATGCTTCTTCAGATATTTGTCTTGTACAAACTAGAAAAAGAGAAAAGAAATGAGATTATAAATGTCTGGATTCATTTGAAATCCCACTTAGAATCACCAACTGTAGGGGCTTTCCAGCAGAAAACAGTTTCTTCATTTGTGGACAACACATATTGTCCCACCTGAAATAAACCTCATGAAATTCAACTGTTTTGAATCTCTCTCCCTCCACAGGCTATCTGTGAAAAACAAAACAGAACAAAAAAATCGAAAACCAAAAAACCACACCAAACTCATTCCTTCATTTATGTGGTGCTATATATATACACACACACATATATACATATATGTATATATATATATGTATATGTGCGCTAGGGCTTTTATTTGTACAGTAGATTATGGGCTGAACAATATATCCCCAGTTTAAGCAAAAAGAATGAAAATCAGAATGTTGCCTTTTAAAATGTAAAGAAACGGGCCCCTTTCTCAGACTATCATTTAATTTTCCCATCCTCCAGGGTGATGTTTTCCCCTTTCCGTGAACTAGGGAGATTTTTACTTTTTTCCCCTCTAACACTGCTTATAGCACAGGCAGGATAAAGAAGCTTTATTTGAATAAAGTGCAAAATTATCAACATAAAGCTTTATGGCTACCTCTCTATACTGTTCATATGACTGCATGTCTTTTCTACTTCCTTGCATCATACATGGTTGAGGGGTGGGGGGGTGAAAGGAGTACACTAAGGTTTGTGGTCCAAATTCGGCATTCAGGTCTATCAGCAATGATAATAACAACGATGATAATAATAACATTTATATAGTGCCTTAAGGTTATCTCATTTGATCCTCTGAATAAACCTATGAGAGAACTGCTATCATTATCTCCATTTTACAGTGAGTCAGTCAATAAACATTTATTAAGTGATTACTTTGAGCCAAGAACTGTGCTGAGCACTAAAGATACAATAAAGACAAACAGCAGTCCCAGATTTTACAGCGTAATGGGGAGACAACATGCAAACAACTATATACAAAAAAATATATGAGATGGGATAAATTAGAAATAATTAAAAGAGAGAAGGCACTAGAATTAAGGGTGATCAAGAAAGACTTCCTTAGAGAAGGGAGGTTTTCAGTTGGGACTTGAAGGAAGCCAGGGAAGCCAAAAGGTAGAGATAAGGAGGGTAAGTATTCCAGGCATGGGGGACAGCCAACAAAAATGCCTAGAATTGGGAGATAGACTGTCTTGTTTGAAAGACAGCAAAGAGTCCAATGTCATTGGAATGAAGAGCTGGGGGAGGGAGAGTTAGTGTAAGAAGACTGGATGAGGAAACTGAGGTTGATTTGAGCAGGGAATTCTTCCAGATTCCAAATCCAGCACTCTTATCTACCACAACATTTAGTTAGATTATATAAATGTTGACAAACCTATTCTCTCAAATACATACATCTTGGCTTCCTGCCTGTGTAATTTATGCACTGTCTTGGAATGACATGAATCCTCACTCTTTAGAATTATTTTTACATCCACTGCTTTTAAGGCAATGATGTTTACAATCTTCTATCTTCCTCTTTTATCATGTTTTACAAACAAATTCGTATTCTAAACTGGTGTTGACTTGACATCTATCCCTCTTGACAGGAAGAGGAACTATTTGATGGCAAAATCAGTTTCTGGGTGCTTACACCCTTCCCATTATGACAACTGTTGAGTATCAGTTAAAACTTTTACATGAAAGAATGATTTTTCCTTTTTCTATTTCCCACTTTTTGGTATTGATGGCTTATTTGAAAAGTGGAAGTTGAAGCTGTTGTGACTGTTCAATCTCCTCAAATTCAGCCTCTTTTCTAATCTAATTTTTACCTTTCCTCCAAAGAATCGATATTCTGACAGACAATTTTTATATGAATCCCACTTAAGTAACCACTTGTCTCCTGTTAAGAAAACTTTATTTTTTGATGATTTTGTTTGGTGTTCTCCATGTCTATGTCCTTATTTTTTTTTAATACTATTTAATTTTTTTTCCAATTACATGTAAAGACAATTTTTAACATTCATTTAAAAAATATTTTGAGTTCCAAATTATCTCCTCCTCCCTAAGACAGTAAGCCATTTGATATAGGATATGTATGTGCAATCATGTAAAACATGATTGCATGAAAGAAGATGAAATGAAAGAAGAAACAGGCCAAAAGAAAAGAAACACAAAAAGAAAAATTTTAAGTGAAAATAGTATGCTTCAACCTGAATTCAGACTCCATCAGTTCTTTCTCTGAAGATGGATAGCATTTTCCATTTTGAGTCCTTTAGAGTTGTTTTGGATCACTGTATTGCTGTGAAAAGCTGTTGTTCATAGTTGATCATTGTACAACACTGCTGATACCGCGTACAATGTTCTCCTGGTTCTGCTCACTTCACTTTGCATTAGTTCATGTAAGCCTTTCCAGGTTTTTCTGAAATCTGCCGGTTCATCATTTCTTATTGCACAATAGTATTCCATTATATTTATATACCACAACTTTTTCAACCATTCTCATAATTGATGGGCATCCCCTCAATTTCTAATTCTTTACCATCACAAAAAGAGGTACTATATTTTTGTACAAGTAGGTCCTTTTTCCTTTTTTATGACCTCTTTGGGATATAGATCTAGTAGTGGTATTTCTGGATCAAACGGTGTGCATCGTTTGATTGCCCTTTGGACATAGTTCCAAATTGCTCTCCAGAATGGCTGGATCAGTTCACAACTCCACCAACAGTGCATTAGTGTCCCAATCTTCCTGTATCCTCTCCAACATTTTATCATTTTCCTGTTCTGTCACATTAGCCAATCTGATATGTGTGAGGTGCTACCTCAGAGTTGTTTTAATTTCAATTTCTCTAATCAATAGGAATTTAGAGCATTTCTTCATATGACTATGGATAGATTTGATTTCTTCTGAAAATTGCCTATTCATATCCTTTGACCATTTTAACAACTAGGGAATGGCTTATACTCTTATAAATTTGACTCAGTTCTTTATATATTTGAGAAATGAGGCCTTTATCTGACAAGCCTGCTATACTGTTTCCAATTTTCTGCTTTCCTCTTAATCTTGGTTTCACTAGTTTTGTTTGTGCAAAATCATTTTAATGTAATCAAAATTATCCATTTTACATCTATTAATGCTCTCTATCTCCTGTTTGGGCATACGTTCTTCTGTTCTCCATAGATATGACAGGTAAACTATTCCTTCTCTTATTTTGTTTATGGTATCACCTTTTATGTCTAAATCATATACCCCATTTTAACTTATCTTGATATATGGTGTAAGATATTGGTCTATGCCCAGTTTCTGTCATACTGTTTTCCAGTTTTCCCAGCAATTTTTATGAAATAGTGACTTCTTATTCCAGAAGTTGGAATCTTTGGGTTATTAGGTTACTATAGTCATTTACTACTGTGTCTTGTGTACCTAATCTATTCTACTGATCCACCAGTCTACTTCTTAGCCAGTACCAGACAGTTTTGATGGTTACCACTTTATAATATAGTTTGAGATCTGGTACAGTTAAGCTACCTTCCTTCGTATTTTTTTTTCATTAATTCCCTTCTATTCTTGACCTTTTGTTTTTCCAGATGAATTTTATTATTTTTTCCTATAAAATATAGCTCTATAAAATAATTTTCTGGTAGTCTGATTAGTATGACACTGAATAAGTAAATTAATTTAGGCAGAATTATCATTTTTATTATATGAGCAATTGATATTTTTCCAATTGTTTAGATCTGACTTTATTTGTATGAAAAGTGTTTTGTAATTGTGTTCATACAGTTCTTGAGTTTGTATTGGCAATATAGACTCCCAAGTATTTTATACTGTCTGTTGTTGTTGCTCATCAGGAGGTTGATGTCTTGACTTGCAAGTGAACTGGATTTAAGTGAGGCAGGGCTGTGCAAAGTCATGCCTCCTCCTCACCAGCGTTTTGCTTCTGACCACTATCTCCCAAATCTGTCCTCCTTTCTTGTCAGCCCCTCTGTTTACTTAACCCTCTCCCCTCCTATTTCCCTGTAGGATAAGAGAGATTTCTATACCCAACTGATCATGTATGTTGTTCCTTCTTTGAGCCAATTCTAATGAGAGTAAGGTTCAAGTGATACCCACTGCCCACCCTGCCATCTTTCCCTCCATTGTAATAGGTCTTTTGTGCCTCTTCATGTGAGATACTTACCCTATTCTTCTTGTCCCTTCCCTCTGCTCCCAGTAGAATCCTCTTTCTCACCTGTTAATTTTTTTTTATATCATTCCCTCAAAGTCACCTTATATCCACACCCTTTATGTATACTTCTTCTAACTGCACTAACAGTGACACAATTCTTAAGAATTTACAAGTATCATCTTCCCATGTAGGGATATAAAGAGTTTAGCCTTATTGAATCCCTCATGTTTTCTCTTTTCACTCCCCTTCCTAACCTCTGCAGGTCAGCCAGACTGACTTTCTTGAGTGTGCCACAAAGAACATTTGATCTCTTGACTCCATGTCTTTGGCAAGTCATCCATGACTATAGTTCTCTCCCTTCCTCACCTCCAACTCTTAGAATCCCTCTTTTTCTTTCAAAACTCAATTTCAATATGAAGCTTCCCTAATGCCCCACGTGCTATTTCTCTCCTCTCCAAAATTACTTAAATCCATTTTGTTAATATTTTGTAGATATTTATATATGTACCATGTTTATTCTTCCATCCTTCTTGACCTCTCTGCAGCTGACACTATTAATTTCTCTTTTCTCCTGGATATTCTCTTTTTTCCAAGATTTTCATGACATTGCTCTCTCCTGAATCTCCTTCTGTGTCTGACTGCTCCTCAGATCCTTGCTAGTTTTCATCTGCTAACTATGTGTCCTCACTAAGGTCTGTATAGGATCTCTTCTCTTTTCTCTCTACAGTATCTCATTTGGTTATATTATGAGCTCCCATGGGGTTCAACCATCATCTTTATGCAGATCCTTCCCATAGCTACATATGCAGCTCTAACCTCTCTTCTGTGCTCCAATTTTGCATTACCA